TCCAGAGACCTGATGTTGACATATATTTTGTGCACACTGTCTATGAACTCAAACGTTTTTAGGATTAGTGGCCACAGTAGAAATCTCAACCTCACTCCTGGCGGTGTTAGTGGCACGAGCTAAGCTCTGCTGCCACCACAAAATAGTAAGGTAGGGATATGGAAGTACAGGTGTAGGGAGATTGGTTGTGTTTTCGCAGATGCCTTGAAGACTACAGGGTGGGGGATGCTGGAGAGGCTCCCGGCCTGCGTATGAAACCGAGACAGGGAGACAGACGGGGGCAGAGAGGGCTTTGTGCATCAGCCCTTTCCCACACTCCCTTTCACCTTTTGTTGTATGGCAGCACCAGGGCTCTCTGACATGACGAATCGCTCTGCCTGCTTAACTAAGACGGTAGCAGTAGGAAAGTAAGAGTGGAGTGAAGTGGAATGATGTGTGTGTGTGTGTGTGTGTGTGTATATATATTTATATGTGTGCGTGCATTTTTGTCCTTTAATCTTCGTGCCTTAGACTGGCTCTGCTTCCCATCCTCTGTCCTGCAATTCTCTGCTCATTTGTCACTGGTCTGGAACAGGAGAATCCAAGTCTCATTGCTTCGAGGAGCTCTAAATGAGCAGATTCCACAGCGGATGAGCCAGACACAAGCACACGCACACACACGCTCATATGCACACTAATGCCTCTGCCCAAATGCCAGCACCAAGCTGTTGCCCATAAAGCGTTCAGGCTGTCACAATAGAGACATTACCACATGAGTGAGTGGCTTTGAATAGGGCTAAGGGTGTGTGTGTATATAGAGTGTGGTGGCTTCGGGGGGAGTTCCTGGCAAGGCAGACGACCCTGTCATCACCTCTGCCCCTTCTCAAACAAGTGATCGCCGTCAATGGCGCATGCATGCAACACACACACTTGCACACAGTCCAGCTGCGCTGCCTGTTGCGCTTATCCAAGTTTCATCTTTACTTTGTGACAGTCCTTTATTTTCGTAGACAGGAGCTCTTGCTGAAATGTGTGTGCGTGTGTTTAAGGGAGGGAGAGAGACAAGTGCGGGTGGCTGGTTAGCTGACCAAGACAGATAAAATGAATAGTTGACCCATCCAGGCCGAGCAGGGTGAGGGGTGAGAATTTAGGGGTCGAAAGAGGAGGGAAAACGAATGAAAGAAGAATTCTATTCAAAATGAATGAAAGGGCTAGGAAAAGACCAGCACTTCCTTGTGGAAATAAATTCTGCAATCTTTAGTCAAGAGAGTGATTTTTGCAAAACGACAAAGGCAGATGCAGATAGAGTTATGTGTATGAGGGCATAAGGAAACACATGACACATTTCAAATGTTTGTTGTAGGCTACTGTCGCTCAGCGCTGTCAGTGGATTGTCACCACATGGGTTTGTGTGTGCAGCCTTGAAATGTTATTATGCAAAAGCGGTGCTTTACGCTGGCGAGATCACTCTTCCACGAGGCATGCAGGATGTGTGTTTGGGTGCATGCGTGTGTGTGAGTGTGGTAGACAGAGTGACAAGGGTTTAAGAGGCCATGTCATGCTGTCACTGCTGGAATGCATCACAGCAATGTTTTGTCACTGCGAGGATGAATGCAGCGTCATGGCAGCAGAAGAAGAAGGAGGAGAAGAAGAAGAAAGAAAGCAGAGAAGAAAAAAAGGACTATTATTTTTTTTTCTCCCCACACTCAATGAGGAAATTAGGTCATCCAAGTAAAGCCATTGCAGGGAACAAATCATCATCATAATTGGAGCCTTAACAAATCTGGAGGTGGCTGCTTCACACACACAAGGAAAACACAAAAGCCAACACAGACTTATATAGCTACACACATTGCCAAGACGGGGTAAAACAGAATTTCAGCATAAATCAGGGTATGTTTGACAGTTTTATAGCTCTTTCAGGAGCCTCATTTGGGACAGAAGCGTGATAGAAGAAGGTTGCTCGTGGTAAATATAATTGTGGTCATGATCCTTCCATAAATCACAGCGTGGTTACATCACATTTGCCAGCAGGGAAAAAATCCCAGTGCATCAGGTGACCTATGGGATGTCTTTATCCCATTCTGTAAGCTGAGCATTCATAGCAAGAGAAATGCCAAAATTAGATTTGAAAATAGGTTGTAATTTCACCCAATCCATATTCAAAACCGCACCAAACTGAGTACTGAAATGTTGGAATTAAAGGAGGAGTCACTCTTGCTGAAAGTTGGATGAGAAGATTCATAGCTTAGCTTAGAGAGTAGAGTAAACTTTATTGTCCCCATAGGGGAAATTTGTCTTGGGCACAGTGCTACAGTCCATTGCGTCACATAAAAGACATCACAAAAACATGAGAAGAGTTTGATACAGACAGTTGCTTCACATAAAAGCATTTTATCTATCTATCTATCTATCTATCTATCTATTCAGAGAGGAGGGGATGTCGAGGGTCTGCAATGATTTTTGTTGTTTGTTTCATGACTGCCTGCTCTTAACAAAGGCATACCAGCCACTCTAAACCTCACACAAAAAATCAGTGGAGACTCCAGGAAGTGACTTCGCCCAGCCAAGAAATAGTCACATAACCCACTGTAAAACCACAGTGTATCAGTTTTAAACTTTTTGTACAAGATGTAACGTGTTAATTATTGAGCATTACAGGTGGGTAGGTGGATTTTGTTAACCTGAGTTGTTTTCTCTGTTTTCAATCTTTATGCTAAGCTAAACTAACTGGCTGCTGGAGGTAGCTTCATAATTACTGCACTTGAGCAGCAATGGGTGAGAGGGTTGGGAGGGTGAAAGGGTACAGATCAAGGCCCTAACATGGTACGGTGAGAACAAGAAAATGGAAGGAGCAGAGGCCTATGGTCAGTAAGAAAATAATCACACTGTTTCTATGATATCACCCTCTGTCAGAAACTGAACCAGACTATCCCCACGCAAAGCAGGTTAGATAGACAGAACGTTTTTCTCTGGGTTTCAAAATAACTGACATGACCTTTTGTGCTTTATAATCTTCTTGAGTATATGTATGCAAAACAGAGCATGACCTGGACAGGTCTACAACACGCTGGCTTTGGAAACGGTTGTTAAAGACTCTGTCTGTGTTGCTACAAGGCTAATGGCCAAGAGCTTATTTGAAATTGCCCATCTTTGTATCAGAGCTAAGGGGTGGTGGTGGTGCTGAAGCGGTATGGATGAGGGGTCCAATTTTGAAAATGTTCCCCTCTCCTTAATTCCAAATGGCTGGCCTGAGAGTTGTATCAGTCTTCTCATCTAATTCTCATCAAGAAAGTGAATAAGCGTATTTCTCAAAATATTGAACTATTCCATTAAGGTTTCAATTAAATTACATAAAGTTACCCTACCATCTACTTTTAATAAGGACTAATTGGTAGAAATGAATGATGTGCCTCATTAATTGTCAGAAGATTAAATTTTTTTTGCATCCTATGCCTTCATGAACTGGTGCTGGTTTCCAGAGTAATGTCATATTTTGTGTTGACCTCAACCTACAGGTGCAATTGGTCAAAACAGTTGGAGAAGCTGACACCAGACGGATGAGAAGTGTAATATTCTGTATATGAACACAAACACACACGCACACTCGTGTTAAGCGAGAGAGGTAACATGTCCCTCTTGAAGACATCTTCTTCCGGCAGGGGCAGGGGTCTCACCACATGAGCTCAATAAGCCCTCTTAAAGAAGAAGAAGATTGAAAGCTTGACCTTGCACACACTCGGCTCCTCCTCGCACATTTCATATGACAGGCTGCGCATGTTATTTATTCATGTTTAAAGACAGTCTGCTCGAGACATAACAACAGCAACATTCACACACACAAACACACACACACATACACACATTCCTGACGTCCAAACTGTAGTCAAATATATGCAATATAGGCAGAATAAATCTCCATAAAGTGTTTGGGTGGAATCTGATGTGCATGTCAGTATTGTCCTAGTAACATCTGCAGGAGCCATATCAACAACCGGGCAAAGACAGAGAGAGGCAAGCCTGAGCTGACACTAATCCAGTAATGTGCCCATGTCGCTTATCAAAATAATTGACAGAATTTTCTACAGTGAGATGGAAGTGTTTATTCTGGTACTACCCAGACAATTCTGTAGATCCCAACAACTCTGGATCAGTAATGAGATGGCTGGCTTTGTTGCATTTTGCTCTACCCACGAATGTGGTTCTGGGTAAATCCATCTAAAATCGGTTAACTGCATGTGCATTGTCCTTTGCAAACACACTTTTTTTGCCGGATGTGAAATAAATTAGAAAAAATTTAAAAAGTTAACTTTGGTTGATATAGGTGATTGTTTCCCTTATGGCCATAACTATGTGAAAATCATGATTAAATATGCTTCTACTTTTCAGGGATTGCATCCCTTTCACTGCTCCTGAAAGTGGGGAGTGATACACAGCTGTCAGTTTAATCCCATATGAGTTGACCATTTTTTAGAAAAACAGATGAGCAAAACAATAAATCCAAAAGTTTTGCTTCTGTATCTTCTTTTAAAAGAAATGACAGTTCTGAGCCTGCTCAGAATCATCTGATCCCAGGGAAGATTTAGTTTTGCTGTGACATTTATGGCCTATTATCACGTTTGAAGCAGCATTGTATTTGTGCCTGAATTTCAGTTTAGGGTTGCTTTGGATGAGATTACAAGTTTACAAGTCTAATTATGTCCCTGAAGCACTGACGATTGAGCATGTCCTTGTTAAAATGAGTGGGAAAGTTAGTTTTATCTCTCTTTATATATCCCCTTTCAATCTTTCAAAAACAAAAAAATATTTTCAAACTCAGGATAAAGCAATTGTTCAGATGGATACTTTTTTACAGTGTAACCTAGAGTGAGGCGTCTCCAAAGGCTACACCACAGTCAGGCGGCTGATTGACAGGACTTGGCTGGCGGTGGACCCTCCTTCCCAGCGTCTCCTCCTCTCCTGCCCTCGTCCCTGCTCTCTCTCTCTCTCTCTCTCTCTCTCTACTCAATCGCAGGGCTGCGCTCACCGACTCGACACCGCCAACAGGGATGCAGCGAGGGCGCAGCGCAGCCTGAAAATGGCACCACCACGCGTCCTGTGGATCTATCCATCCCTTTTCCTCCTGTTCTCTCTGCTCCTTTTTCACGCGTTGTCGCCGTGCCGAGCCTTACGGAATTACCCGGAGAATGAAGGTGGGTGTCCGTGGTGGGTGTTGTGAACCTTAAGTGGAGTGAGGTAGATGACTTGGTTGTGCGCTGTGCTGGCTGATGGGGAGCCCCGTCCCGCGGTTCCACTTAACGGGGAAGGAGCTGAGCGGAGCGGCGGAGAATCCCGTTAAGTGCTCTGCTCGGTTATGAATCATGCATAAAGAAAAGCGGAGGAGGGTGGGGGGTACTGTTCGTCACGTTTTTCTTTTCCGAGCAAATTGATATTAAATTTGTATGACATATACACACAGGCGACCCTGTCATGCTGAAGATAGAGAAGCCTGATTTCACTTTCTGACATATGGAAAAGCTTCTTTGCATTTTATTAATCTTTGGGAATATATTTCTTGCATTAAAGTAGCCTAACTTATATTGGTTATGCCAAAACAACATTGACATCTCTGTCAAAAATCCCTCTTAATTATAGATTCTTTATTATAACACAGTGATAAATGTTTGTTTTTTTCTGCTGTGGGCTATAGCCTACTGCCTCAGTCTGCAAATGAGGAGCAGCAATTACATTAAATTTGTCACACGCTGCTGCTGAGCCTCTCTCAGTTATTGTATTAACATCGATGCTTGGCTTGAAATTAGCCAATGCATTTACTTACTAACTACTCCCGAACGCTTGCTGGGTTGAAACATGGGAGCTGGCTTGTTTAATGGGAAGCTGAACTTGCACTTAATGGAGAAAAGAACAAAGAAGTGTGCACAAGTTATATAAGTTATATTCACCATCATTGGTTAACAAAGCAGAGTGTTTGAAGTAAAATGGAAGTGTCTGTGCTGTTGTTTTTCGCTGGCTGGCTGTCAGACAGTCTAGCTGGAGATGATGCAGCTGTGACTTGATTGTCATTCTGTGAATCATTTCATTCAGTATTCCCCAAAGCTCCAGTCAGCCCTGTTCTGTAGCTCAACAGAGCTCCCCCTCCCTGTTATGAGCTGGATGATTTGCCTCTCATTGACATCTTCTGTATCATTTCTCACTCACTCTCAGGCTTACGTGGGGTAGATCAAACAGTCACACACACCACACACACCAATGGCAGGCCACCGAGGTCTGATGGGATCTCCTGTCTCTGGCTGACTTAACAGTATAGGCTGCTTGTACGTAAGTTGTGCTGAATGTATGTCACAGCCCTGAGGAGTAGCCTACACACGAACAAAGGTCCTGAGGATAGATAGGGAGTGAAGGAGAGAGAAAGAGAGAGAGTGGAGGAGTATTTTAACAGCAGGAGACAATGCATGTGAAGGAGACACACACTGTTGAAATATTCACTGAAATGAGCATGAATGATGAAACCAACTGGAAGCCAAAAGAAACTCCTGTTGATTTAGATAAACTGACAGGAGCATCTGTAAGTCCTTATACATGTGGTGTGTGTGTTTGTGTGGATCATGTTCAACTTGAAAATTTTGAAGGAGACTGACAGGTTAGAAGGGGTTTTCATTACTTTTCAAATAATCTGCCAGGCAGTCTGTGTGTGTCACTTGGTCCTTCATCCTCTGGTGATCCTCTATCCTGCTGTGTTACTAAACTATTGGCCTAATTGGTACCAGTTGTCTGACTTGTGTGTGTGTGTGTATGGTGTGTGCACGTGCCCCCGATGGGACAGTAATCCAATGAAGCCATTTTTGTCAGCCACTCTATGCTCTGCGTTTACCTTTTGGCCTGCCAGTTTTCCTGCTGTGACTGCATGCTTAGGCGAAGGATTGCTCTTCTTTGTGCCTGTGTGTGTGTGTGTGTGTGTGTGTGTGGTGTGTGTGTGTGTGTGTGTGTGTGTGTGTGTGTGTGTGTGTGTGTGTATGTGTGTGTGTGCACCTTGTGTTGTCTTTGAGTGTGCATATTCTCCACCCACGCATCTCAGTAGTCATGTTATTCCAGGAAATCCTCCCTCTGAGTCTGTCTAGTAGCAGAAGCGGGGCTGTCATAAAAGGAGAGATACGGCTCTCAAGGCTCAATTAAGAACACAGTCCCTTTGATAGAGCTGATAGTGTTAAGCTGTCAACAAGCTTAGTTTACTACCAGAGATATTGATCTGCTTCAAACTTGTTGGCATTTACAAGAATCACAGTTGTGAGGGTGGACTGGCGGAACCCGGTGCTTCTGGAGAATTGATAGAATTGCTTGAAAACTGCTGCTAACTGCAGACTGGGGAACATGAGACTTAGTAGAAATGGGTTCCTTCATACGTTGCTGTGATGAAGAGTATTTCATCTGAAGGTCTTTGTTGTCAACAGTGAAAGAGGTAAGAGTGGAAGAGTTTTTGTGCACCAGCAGAGGGAGTCCAACACGCCTTTTGCCTGAACCCTGAGGGCACACTGATGTAACAGGAGGGTGGATGCTCACAGGTCTCCCATGGTCCTTTGTCCTGCTGTCCTCATCCCTTCTTTACTCTCTTCTGGATCCCTTCTACCACGGTGCAATGACATGTGTCTCCTCTATTGTTGTTGTTGTTTATTTGCAGTTGCTCCCCCCTTGTGCAGATTCCTGGTGGGGAAAGGAGCAGACTGTCGCTCCTTTCTATTTTGCGTCTTCCTTCTGACTCTAAATATATCTCCAATCCTAGAAAACATACTGTAAAAGCATGACTGGAGCCCCGCGCCTCTTTCCACTGCCAGTGTATGTGTATTAGAGTAAACTAATAGAGGTAAATGAATGGTTGAACTCCAAATTTTGCCTGAAAACTGTGTTCAAACGTAATTGAATTAATAATCAAGAGTGGGCAGAGAGGGAGAGGAAAAACAACAAAACACGGGGGGAACATGACTCAGTTATGGTTTATGTTAGAGTCTAGAGGTTTACTGTAATGTGTAATTGGTCGACTTGGAACTACAGTACACTTATAGCTTTTTCATTGGAAGGCCTTCGGGCGCTTTGGGGTTGCTGTATTGCTTTGTAAGGTGAACATGAGGGCGAGCAGTAAGTGCAGAGGCAAGCATATGTAGAGGACGCCGCCTTCTTACACACACACACACACACACACACACACACACACACTCACACACACACTTTCTTATGATTCACACAAGATCCTGACTGTGGTATAATGTTAGGTCAAAGGTCTCCTCTGGTTTAATTGCTTTAATCTATAATGGTTGCTTGTAGTTATCGGCAGAACTATACCTCATTAAGTGTGTGTCTGTGTGTGTGTGTGTGTGTGTGAGTCCGAGAGATTGCTGTACTCCCATGTAACAACCATGACCTTGGACAGAGGAGGATATAGATCTCCACTCTCATCAAAGAGCAGCAAAGAGAGACAGCAAGAGCGAGCACCCTCCTGTTTCTCTTTTCTACCTCCACCACTCCAAACTATCTCTAATCCCCTTCTTTCAAATCTGCCCTTCTCTATTTTCTATCAGCCTCCCTCCTGGCCTCCATTTTCTCCCTCCTTTTTGTTTTCCCTTTTGTCTTCTTCTCTTCTCTCTCTCCTTCTGACCTCCAGTAGCAGTAACAGTTGAACAGGAGTTGCGAGCCACTGTAAGTTTTCTGTAACAAGGTGGAGCTCCTATATCTGCTTAAAACAGCCCATACACAAGCGCGCGTACACACACACACACACATACACACACACACATGTATCCTATCATAATGTATGGCTGGGGGCAGTTTGGTGGTCTTGGTCCAGAGAATAGTGTCATGTATTCCCGAGGCTGACTGATAGATAGGGTTATAAATACAGCTCAGTGACAGAGAATGATTCTACTGTGAGGGCTTGTGTGTGTGGTGGGGTGGTGGTGAGGGGGGGGGGGGGGGGGGGGGGTCAGAGACAAAAAGACAAATCCACAAGAGAGACCGTGAGACAAAACATAAATGAATAAATAAAAAGCAGAGCACAGAAAGAGACGTGGCTCTAAACAAACTGAATAACTCACCCATTTCTTTGTGGTCTATTGAGCAGAGCACCCATAATAGCACCCACAGGGCCTTTGTGTTGTACTTGATGGTCGTCAGTGGTTGCTAAATATAGTTTTGTTATTCAGCCCTAACAATTCAATTTTTTTTTTTTCTGTTTTGTTTCAGTTTGGTTTCTGTTAGGGATACACATGTTTAATGGTTTGACATAGAAAACTGATAGCACTCTAAAGTCTGTACACTAAATATGAGGCTATAGCCAGTAGCTGATTAGCTTAGCTTTGCACTGGAAGGACCGGAAACGGGAAACAGCTGGCAGGCTCTGTCCAAGGGTTAAAACATCCATCTAGCAGATCTCTAAAAGCTCACTAACAGGTTATATGTCGTTTGTTGAAATTTTCCTAAAACTTAAGTCTAAAAATTACTATTTGTGGTTTTACAGGGGGATGATGGCAGTGACTTAATGGAGTTTCCAAATTATTGTAAGGCATCCAGGAAGTCACTTTGCCCAGCAAAGAAGTAGCTTGGCACACAATCCCCTATAAACCCACAAACAGGCATTTTTACTGTAAGGTGTTTGTACGTGTTAAACTAACAAAATAGAACATGTTAGTGAGCTTTAAAGGTGCTGGGCTGGCTGTACTGTACACTTGTTTAAACAAATCCTCCATAGACAAACTGCAAGTTGTACAGAATGCAGCGGGTGAGAGGTGATCAGGCTTTCTGTGTGGTGGCTCCACGGCTCTGGAACTCTATTTCTTTAGCTTTGAGAGCCTTGGACTCTGTGGAAACTTTCAGAAAACACTAGGGTTGACCCCCAATAGTCGAAGATTCGATGCTTCGATGGGCGGAGCCAGATTCGACTGTCAATCTCACAGTCGAAGCTTCGCAGTGAAACGAGGATCACCAGTTTTCTCCCAATAACTTATTATACAGCCTATTACAATATACATTTCAATGTTTAATGCTGTAAAAAATATGTAAAAGAATCAAACTTCCAATAAATGTTTTTAAAGTGCGTGAATAAATCCAAAATTGTAACCCTAATCTTGGGTCGTCATGGGCATGTGTAGGCGTAGCGTGTGTGTGTGTGGTGGCGGAAGAGGACGACTTGCTGAAGAGACTGAGC